AACTGACTTGGTCGGCGCGGCCGCAGCGATGCGCCGGCCAGGGCCAAGCGTGCATCGCAATCGCCACCGCGTGGGTTTAGCAAGCCAATTTGCGGGTGGGTGGGCGGGGCGTTTGCAAGAGCGCGGGGCGTGTCAATTAACTGGTTGAAATCATTTTTTTCATTTAAAAAACAGAATTCGGACCCGCCGCCGCCGCCCCGGGTTTCTCGGCCCCCCTCTCGTATTGCAATATACTTCCGCCTCATCGTCCATCCTAAACGTGAGCTCGCACCGCCGCAGCCGAGCCGGCATCGCCCCCCGCCGCCCGCCATCCTCTACAACAAATAATACGCGCGCGCACTCGTTTATCAGAAATCGCCAGTTCTCAAACACCCCTTGCACAACACATCGACGAAGTGCACGCGCGCGCGCGTCGTCGCGCGCGCGCGCCGAAATCCTTTCATATCCTTTTGTTTCAGGGGGATTTCGAAATCGAGCGTGCAGGACAACGTGTGACAACACGTGGTTTCGCAGCGCGGATTTTCAACAAAAGTTCGCGCGCGTTCTCGCGGATTCTGGGCCGCTCTCGCGCGTCGGCCGCGCACGCGTGTCGAACTCTTCCCAAAACCTCCATCGCCGACGCGAGGGCGCCGTCGTCGTCGTCGGCGCGAACGGCACCAGCGCCCGCGCTGGCCGCGCCTTCGTCGGTGCGAACATCGTCGCCGGCATTGCCGCTATCATCGTTGCGTCTGCCGTAGCCGGCGTTGCCATGGTACTACGCCCGCCCATGTCGCCGACTCGCAGTGAAGTGCCCGCTGGGATGTGCCCAGCGGTCAGCGCCACCGCGGCCGCGTTCGCGGCGCCAAACTAGCTGGCCGCTGCGCGCGCGCTCGGGTTGGCGCGGCCGCAGGGGTGCACCAGCCAGCACCAAGCATGCATCGCAATCGCCACCGTTGGTTTTGCATGCCAATTAGCGGGTGGGTGGGTGGGTGGGATGGCTGCGCGAGCAGTGGAGGTGGTTAAGCGCGGCGCAGTGTAGTCAATCCTCCTTCCTCAAGGGGAAATAGGTTCTACCGCCCTCCCCCCCTGGACTTATCGATTCCTCGTGAATCTGTGCAAAACGCGTGCAATTCTGACCCATTGTCCATCCGACTAATGAATTCATACTATCCCAGCCAGGCTGGTATCGGCCCCCCATCGGTTCCCTTGCAACACGTATTATACGGTGACATTTTTTGGTCTAGCGCAGCACTTGTTCGTGAATTTCTTGTAAGCAATGCAATGCGGGGCGCGCGCTCGCGGCCGCTGCGCGCGCATGTCGAAATCCTTCCAGACACATTGTGTTTTTACACCAATTTCAACATACCGCTTCCGGGAAACCTTGGAACACATACGACTTGCTCACCCACAATTTCTGCAACATCTGCCCGCGCGTTCCTGCCGAGTCCTTGAAACGTGTGTTTTTGCTTCATCGTTTCTGTCAAGTCGGGCTTCTTGGGCAACTTTTGCGCGCACGTCGATCTCATTCAACAGCGGTCGCGCGCTTGCCAGGGCCACGATCCTTTGTAACGAATGCTATGCGGGGCGCAAGCGCGCGGCCGCCGCGCGCGCAGGTCGAAATTCTTCCAAACACATTGTGGTTTCAACATTTTCAAGATCGAGCTTCATGAAATCACGCAAATCGTGCCGTACATTACAAGAACATCAAACATTCTACCCGCGCGCGCTTTACGACTCCTAAGAAACATTTGTTCAATAGTATCTGTCACGCGAGCAACTTATGCGCGCGCGTCGAACGCATTCAACATCGGTCGCGCGCCTGCCATGGCCACATTCCCGTGTAGCAAAAAAAACATGCAGCCACATGCGCGCGGCCGCCGCGCGCGCAGGTCGAAATCCTTCCGACCACCTTGTGTGAAATCGCACGAATCGTATTATATTTCCTGGCAGCATATCTACAACCAAAAATCAAAATGTCTACCCGCGCGCGTTTTCCGAATCAGAAAAAACATTTGAGTTTTCAGTATTTTGGTCATGCGAACAAGTTTTGCGCGCGTGTCCAACTCTTTTAACATCGGTCGCGCGTTAGCCAGGGCCACAATTCCTTGTAAAACACCATGCGGTGGACATGCGCGCGGCCGCCGCGCGCGGATGCCGAAATCCTTTTCATCGTCGTCGTCGTCGTCATCGTTTGCGTCGTCGTCGCCGTCGTCGTCGTTTTCGTCGTCGTCCTCCCTCCTCCCTCGTCGTCGTCGTCGGCGTCGTCGGCGTCCAGAAGCTCTCGACTCACGTCTTGTTCGCCGGAGCTCTCCGCCCCTTCGTCGTCGTCCGTCGTCGTCGTCGTCGTCGTCGTCGTCGTCGTCCTTCCTCCGTCGTCGCACTCGTCGTCGTCGTCGTCGTCGTCGCCCTCCCTCCCCCCTCGTCGTCGTCGTCGTCGTCGGCGTCGCCGTCCTCCCTCCTTCCTCGTTATGGCCGCCGTCGTCGTTTGTCGTCCTCTTCGCTGTCGTCGTCGTCATTTCCCTTCCTCCCTCGTCGCTGTCGCCGTCGTCGTCGTCGTCGTCGTCGTCGTTTGCGTCGTTGTGTGCTCTCCTCCCTCGTCGTTGTCGTCGTCGGCGTCGCCGCCCTTCCTCCTTCGTCGTCGTCGTAGTCGTCGTCGTCGTCGTCGTCGTCGTCGTCGTCGTCGTCGCCGACCTCCCTCCTCCGTCGTCCCCCGTCGTCGTCGTCGTCGCCGTCTTCGCCGTCGTCGTCCTCTGTCTTTCATCGTCGTCGTCGTCCTCTTTAGCGTCGTCTTCGTTTCCGTCGTTGTCGCCGTGGTCGTCCTTCCTCCTCCCTCGTCGTCGTCGTCGTCCGTCGTCGGCGTCTCGTCGTCGTCCCTCCTATTTCGTCGCCGTCGTCGTCGTCGTCGTCGTCGTCGTTGTCGCTGTCGTCGTCGGCTTCGGTGTCGTTGCCAAGTGCAATTGGGTACCTGCCGTCACGGTCTTAAGAGGTCTTGCGACCAAGTTGCGGGTGGGAGGGTGGGATGTTTGCACGAGTAGTGGAGAGGAGAGCTTCAAGACAGTCAAAGTGAATTGCACCACCTAAATCTGGGCTCATACCATCCCAGCCAAGCCGGTATCGGCCCCCTCGCCTTTTTTATTGAACAGATAGCATGCGCGCACTCGTTTATCAAAAATCAGCAGTTCTCAAGAATCCCTTGCAGCAAATGGGACGAAGTGCGCGCGCGCGTCGTCGCGCGCGCAGGCCGAATTAGAAAACCTGAGGTGTCGAAAGGATTTCTAAATCGAGCGGCCAAAAAAATATAAGCGCACAAGGGTTCGCAACACGGATTTCCCAAAAAAGCTCGCGCGCGCGATTCCGCGATTTCTTACGAATACCCTATGTTTTTAAGCATCTTCATATCATGTTGCCAAACGGGCTTCGCGCGCGCGCGCGCGTGTCGAAGTCGTTTTTGAACGCCTTTGCGCGCGTGCTGGGGTGGCACGATCCGTGTCAAATATTACCATGCGGGCCACTTTCGCGCGTCTGCCGCGCGCGCATGTCGAACTTGTTCCAAAACCGTCATCACCGACGCGAAGACGCCGTCATCGTCGTCGGCGTGATCAGCATCGGCACCGTCACTGGCTGCCCCGTCGTCGCTGCCAGCATCGTCACCACCATCGGTACTATCCTCATCGTGTCTACAGTTGTCAACGTTGCCATGATACCGCGCCAGCCCAAGGCGCCGACTCGCATTGAAGTGCCCGGAGGGATGTGCCGAGCGGTCAGCGCCATCGCATTCGCGTCGGTCGCGCCAAATTAGTTGGCCGCTGCGCGCGCGAGCATGCGCGGGCTGGCGCGGCCGCACACATGCACCAGTCAAAACCAAGCACTCATCGCAATCGCTTCCATGGGTTTTGAAAACCAAGTTGCGGGTGGGTGGGTGGGATGATTGCGCGAGCAGTGGAATGGACAACTTCGAGTATATTGCACCGCGTAGATTGCATTCCATATGTTGCATCGCAAACAGTGCACCACATAGATTGCACCGCGTGGACTGCAATAACCTATTGCTTGGGGTCTAGGCGGGGCAACATCATGGTTTCCACACAAAGGATCTCAAGCATGCTGTCTCTTCCTCTCTCTCTCTCTCTTCCTCTCTCTCTCTCTCTCTTTGTTTTTCTCTCTCTGTCTCTTGTTTACACTGGTTGTTTACGGTCCTTCACTCTTGTATTCCCGCTGCAACGTTGGCCTCATTTTATGAACGGTGCGTTGCTCCCATTGTTCAGAGTGGCGCTCTCGCCCCAGCGAGGTCCACCTTTTCTGGATCTGAGTCCTTCCTCATCATTGGCGTCTCCTCTTTTCCCCTCATCTGCCTTCCCGTGTTTTTTCTGCTCCTCCCTGTCCTTCCACTTCAGCTCCCGTTTCTGCTGTTCGTCCTCGCCCTCCTCCTTCCTCTTTCGCACCTCATCGTCCACCGCACACTGCTCCCAATGTCCGATTGCGCATAATTCGATGGGGTCCTTTTTGGAATTCCAGGTCCGCTGTGACACGCGTCGGCGGATAGAGAACAAATCAACGCAATGGGGAGGGATGGGTGGGAGGGATAGCGTGTCAGACGTATCGCGAGTGCACCTAGCTTGCCGGTATCCCTTCTCCTCCATCCTCACGCGTCCCTCCCCTCTTTATCTCTTCCCTCCGACTCTCCATTCCGTGCCTCAGTCCCTCTCTTCCTCCTCCTCCTCTTCCTCCTCCTCCTCTTCCTCCTCCTCCTCGTGTTCTTCCTTCTTCCTCTTGCCACCTCTCAGCCCCCCCCCCCTGCGCTGGCGTTTGGCGGGCCTCTTCCAGAGTGTAGGTCTTTTGCCCACTGTGCCGCCCCTTGCTCGTCGTCGTCGTCGTCGTCGTCGCCCCTCTTCTTCCTCCGCGAGCTCGCACGCCCATGAATCACACAGGGATCCAGAGTGCATCTGGGGCTCTGGCCCGACTGCCGTGCTCTCGTAGGGCCGTCATTCTTGACGTATGTCGGCGCCTCGCCTCGCCCAGAGGAGATCACCGGAGGACGCCCAGCTGTACGACGCGCCGTGGCGCCTCTGCGCGCCGTTCCCCGCCATAGAGGTGATCCGCTGGCGCTGCAAGCTGCGCGACGAGGCCACGGGCCGTCCCGTGCTGGACGCGGCGGGCAAGGAGGTGTACGAGCAGGAGGATCATTCCTCCCCCCTCCCTCGCCTCCTTCCTCCCCTTCTGCTGCTGCTGCTCCTCCTACTCCTCGCCTCTTCCTCCTCATGCTCCCCCTGATCCTCCTATTCCTCCTACTCCTCCTACTCCTCCCGGGCAAGCACGAGCGGCGCGAGACCAGGCGCCCCCCCCCTTTTCTCGGCTCCAACCGGTCATGCAGCCACTCTCGGCGTCTCATCGCGACGTGCTTGGGGTAGCTGGAGATCCTGCAGCATTCACTGGTGTGGGTCTTGCTGTTGTCGATGGGTTAGCTAACGCCGAGAGAAATTGATGCAGGCACTTTTTCCTCAGCAACTTCCTCATCGGTGTTGGCCAGGTGTGACTTTTTGTTTTACCTCTCCCCGTCGCCTCCGTGCTGACAGGGTGCAAACTGGGCCCTTTTGTACCTGAGTTTTCAAGCTTTCCTGTGCATTGATTCCGTGGTCCGTCCCAGGCTGCAGGGGCAATGGGGGGAGCCGTAAGCATTTACCCACCCGCCTGCGGTCTGGGCGTATTTCAGGCGAGCGGGTGTTGCTGTCACGACCGTCGAGGAGGGCATCCGTCCCAGGTGCAGGGTCGATGAGGGGGGGAGCCGCTGGCATTGACCCACCCGCCGGCTACCTGGGCGTATTTCAAAGCGTTGTGCTAGTGGTGGCTCTTGGTATGCGTTGGGAATTCGTGGGGCCATCTCCCCATCCCGCCGTGTCGACTGTCGCCCTCCCGTTTGATTGCACAGAGTCTTGGAAGAGGTCAAGAGTTTTGTTTGTCCCGTTCGTACGTGGGCGCTGTCTTTTGTCGTGTCATTGCGGGGCTGTCTGTGGAGGAGGCAATTTCTTTGGGGGGTGCCCAATGACCAGTGATGGGTTGTCCCATCATTGAACAAGGGCCGCGTCGAACCGAGCCGATTTCACCTCAGCTGAATTGTGTCCATCTTTACAATGTTTGCCGTGTGCGTCTCTTATTACTACCTCATCTACTTAGAGATGGTCAGTGGGTGGTTTCCATGTGTAAGATTTCGTCTTATTATCGTGCTCGTGCTCATGTTCCTATGAGGCTAAGGCCAGGAGCAGGCCAGGGCCGCCCTCCTCGCGCTTCTCAGCGTCGACCCTGCCCCTGCCGAGCTGGTCGACGTCGAATCGCCCTGCCAGTTGCGATTCAACGGATACGGGAGCTGGCAAGGATCTTCGCGCCGCGGTGGAAGCCGCCGTTGGCGGCCAGCTAACCGACGACGCTTGGGAGCAGGCCGCCGCCGGCTCTTCCTGTGGCGGCCTTGGCCTGCGCACCGCGGGACGCGTGCCTACCGCCGCCTTCGTCGCAAACCGTGTCAGCTCCCGTCCGTGCGCCCACGAGATGTCCGAGCGCCTTGCCCTGGCTGGGTCGTGCACTGTGGCCGCGCGCGTCAGGGCCTGAGACTTGCGCGGAACACGCCGCCGTTGCCTTGGTCGGGCCCCTCCCCCCAAGCTCTCGCCCCTGGCTCCCTGACATCCCCGCAGACCAGGCCGGCGCGAGACGCTGGGCCATCGTCGTCTACGACAGCGCACCCAGCAACGACGCCGCCCCCAGACGGCTTGGCCGGCCCCGCAGGATGGGCAGCGGAATCGCCCCTCTCGACGAGGACGAAGACGACGAACACCCCGGTGTTGCGCCTCGCGTGCGCGCCCAGCTCCACCGAGCCTTCTCGGCCCCCCTTTGACACGCCGGCGCGCCTGAAGCGCCGTGAACGCCAAGCGCAGGCCAGAAACAATCCGGCGCCGTGGCGCTCAGAGGACCTCAGCCGCTTCGATATCAATGACGAGTGGGTGTGGGCCCTGATTCGGCACAGGGTGCTTGTCCTCGACCATCAGAGCTTCGTCGGAATTCCTTCTCCTTGTCGGCGCCGCCGTCTCTAGCGAGCCCCCCCTCCCACAGACACCTCTGCGGCTGTGCACTGCTTGACCCCGCGCGCTCGTGCGCCTCAGTTGCAGCTGGGCCAAAGCTACAAAAGATCACCGCGCGGCTGCCCAGCAGGTGTACAAGGCAGTGAAGGCGTGCGGCCCCTCCCCCGAGGCTGAGGCGAGGCCGTCAGGGGCGTGCTCACGGGGGCTCTGGGGCGCGGGAGCAGCGCGCTCGACGTCGGCGCCAGCCGATGTGCGCCGCGCTGGCCCAGGTTCCGTGTCCAGCGTGCGTGCGCCTGGGGCCGCGCGCGACCCTACGATTGTGATATCCTGGACCGTGAAAACACGTTGCGACGGTCCCCGATTTGGTCACAGCCGCTCCGTCCTGGACGACATCCACCTTCCGCGCAGTCGCGACCCGCCTTTTCCGGCGGAGCACCTTGGAACACCTCCCAGCCAGCGGAAAAGAATCAAAGGGAGGGGGCCGTGGCCAACAGGGTAAGGGTCAAATTGAAGGGGCTTGCCCTCGACTGGACTGCGGCCTGGGGCGGCTTCAGCTCGAGAGGAGAGCCCCAGGGTGCTGCAGGATAACGAAAAAAAGGGGGAGAGCTTCGAATGGAACGGCGTCTCCCAGGTCTACCCCAGGACGATGACCCCATGACCCCCCCCCACGCGCCGTCAGGGTCAGCGGAGCAACAAATATTACATTTTTTCCCTCCTCGCAGAAGGGCTGTTACGAGGCTCCTCCTTGAGGAATTGACCCTCTCAGGGCCTCTCTTGGTGCGCCATTTGGTCAGGACTTCGAGGTGCATCCAGCTGTTTCCATAAGGATTCACACGAGCCCCAGAAACGCCCGAAAGCCTTGACTTGACCGGCGACGACGTCGTCGCCCATCCCGTCGGTCACATCGCCGTCATCGCCGCCGTTGCCGCTGGTGCTGCCGTCGCCTACGTCGTTACCCTGAAAGCTCCCTCCTCCCTCCACCGTGCGCGTCCTCCCGCTTCTTCCGCCCTCCCGCTCCTGCCCGTGTGAACCGACGATCTGCGGTCCTTCTTCGAACTGACTCGCCCTCGGCAGAGGGCGCCTGCGCCGCCGCCGTAGCCGTCGCCGCCGTAATCTTCGCCGCTTCGGTCGTGGCCGTCGCCGCGTCGTCGTCGTCGTCGTCGTCGTCGTCCTCGTCGTCGTCGTCGTCGTCGTCGTCGTCGTCGTCGTCGTCCTCGTTGTCGTCGTCTTCGTCGTCGTCGTATTGTTCGTCGTCGACGTCGTTTCGGGACCGTCCTGGTCAGAGTTCTATTTCGAGGCCGAGTTCGGTGGGCCCCGGGGGGCCCATAGCGGGCTCCTGGTGGCCGCACCGAGCGCGGAGGCGCATGTTCATCGCTGCTTTCGGCCTCCCGGGGGCGTTGTCGGCGCCCCGTTGCCATCCGGTTCAGGAGTTTTGCAAGCGAGTCCAGAGCCAGGTTCGCAGACCCCTGGTCGGGCCGACCGCCTTTTTGTCGGGCTGCGTCGAGACGCGCAGCAGCACAGCACCAGAAACTATATTTGTTTCGCTGTTTTCGGTCTCCAGGGGGCGCTGTTGGTGCCCCGGGGACCATCTGAAACCGACCCGACTGCCCGCGGGCCTCGCCGTCGCCGTCCTCGTCTTCGCAATCCTCCATGGGACCATCAAAAATCAGCCTCTGGGATAAAACCAGGTCCACGCGAGCAAGGCGAGAGCTCGTCATCGAAGCAAGACCGCGACTCAACCTAAGAACGGGCCCGAAACAGGATCGAGGACACACCTCGGGCGCGATGCTGTTGTCGATCCTCGCAGGCGAGCCAGTTCACCCACCGCCACCGCCGCCGTCGTCGTCGTCGCCGCTGCCGTCGCCGTCGCCGTTGCCGCCGCTGGCGCAGTCGCCGTTGCCGTCGCCGCGGCCGCCGTCGCAAAGGATCCTTCCAGGACTGCTCTCCAGGCCACGCCAAAGTATGCCCATATCCACCAGAGCGAGGTCGGCCCTGGGAATGCCAGCAGTGGTGGATATGGATCTGGTAGGTTCGCGTCGTGTCGACCGGCGGCGACCCGAGCGCGGGCGTGTAAGGCTGAACGCCGCCAGCGACCCAGAAGCGGTCGACGTTGAACGTTCTGACGTTTCGGAAACGGGCGATCGCGATCCCTGCAGTGTCAGGATCCACGCCGAAGTTGGCACGACACGAACCTGCCGTGTGCGCCCCGCCGCCTGGCTGGGCTGATACCCGTATCCACCGCTCCCCGAGTCCCTGGGGCACGATCCCGCGGCAGTGCCCATGCTCTGGCGGCGCACAGACATTGCAGGAGACCGCGGAGGACTCTCTGGGGGGCCCCTCGAAGGGCCCTCTGAGGCATCCTGAGGGGGCCGCATGCGAACCCTGCCCCCACCCCCCACGATTTCTGAGGGGCAGGGTGGGGCTCACTCCGCTCGGGAGCTCCGGAACGAAGCGAGCCCCACCCTCCCCCTCAGAAATCGTGGGGGGTAGGGGCAGGGTTCGCATGCGGCCGCCTAATCCTCCGACGCCGGGTCGGGCACCCTCCCCCTCAGAAATCGTGGGGGGTAGGGGTAGGGTTCGCATGTGGCCCCCTAATCTCGAGGCGGGAGGAGCTCCCAGGACCGACGAGAGCGCACGTCCGAGAGCCGGCCACGATCGCCGCCGCCGTGCGCGCCAGGAGCGGCCCGGGGGCCAGGCTCGAGCGGCGGCGAGGCGTCCTGGCTCGCCTGCAGGCCCACCTGGGGATGCTCTAAGAGCCCCTGGTGTGGTTTGCTCGAGATCGTCCTAGAACGCTTCCGGCTCACACCGTTTGGCTATAATCAATCGGTTTCGGTTTGGGCAGCAGCGCATTTGTCATTTGGAGCATTCGTTCTAAAAGGACTTCGTGTTATACCTATAGGAATGCTGGTCGGTCGGTCCCTGCTCGACAGACGGCCGGGGGAGAGGGAATGAGGAGGAGGAGGAGGAGGAGGAGGAGGAGGAGGAGGAGGAAGAGGGAGGGAGGGAAGGAATGAGGGAGGGAGGAGTGAGGAGGGGGGGGGGGGAGGAGGGGGGAGGAGAGGGGAGGATGGGGGAGGAAAGTGGAGGAGGAGGAGGAGGAGGAGGAGGAGG